TCGAAAATGTCCAACGAGGTCGAATCCGCGCAGGTTAGCGACGCCACGGAGGTGACGCTGCTGAGTAGCTCGGCAGAAATAGAGAGCCACGCCGGTTCCTGCGACGAGGAGATGACGTTACAGCTTCTAAAGGACGCCGTCCAGTCATTGCCCCATCACGTGGTCAAGGACCTTTTGTCTGTCGGCGTAAATTTCTCTTTTCTTTTTTATAGTCAAATTACCTAATCAGAACCGTTTTTATTATTGCATCGACATTTGAATTTGATAAACTAAATGAAAAGCAATCAAATTCGGCCTGTGTGTGTTTGTTTTAGGTTTGTTCGAGATGCGTCCTACGGATACTCGGCTCCGAGGACCGTATTTATTGTCATCCATTGTTACCACAATCTATACTCCGTTCAATTCTTGAAGAAGTAGCTGGTTTTAAATCAGAAGGCAATTTTCAATTGTGCAGCGTTTGCTTGGGTATATTACAGTTAAGTTATTGCGATGACAAAGAAACAATGGTGAAAATGGAGAGTCCAAATGATATGGCTTCCACCATTGCGGAGTTAGTGAAAACAGAGGGCCATCAAATTGATGGATTTTCTCTAGAAGTTTCCGTTCCACAACTTATATTGGAAAACGAATCCTCGCTGTTGTAAGCCTTATTTTTTGCTCGTTTTGGTGGGTTTTATGTTAGGATTTATAGTTTGGCCATTAATATCAACCCCCCCCCCCCTTTAGGTCAGGTATGAAAAAGATAAATGAATCAGAGCTATGGTTTCAAGAAAGAATGCTTTCCAAATGTGTCTCCGTGAAGGATGTTCTGAAATTTGCTATAACGAAACCCCTTGAAACATTGTTGGTAAGTAAAATTTTCCTGGAATTGGTTTATTGTTTCGAAATATTGCTGGTTTGAATCCATTTTAGGAAGATAGTTGTTTTTCTATTCATGTTGAATTATACACTGAATGAGATAACTGCACAAGATGTCCCCCAAATTATGACCTCATTCTGAATTGGTCCCTAAACTTTATAACACTCTATATCAGTCCTCAAACATTCTTTACTGAATGAGATTATTGCAAAAATCACCTTAATGGAATGATGAAAATGGAATGATACCAATAGTTTGAGGATTCATATAGAATGTAAGTTTAGGTACTAATTTAGAATGGGTCATAGTTTGGGGATGGATATAGAAAGTTTTAAAGTTTATGGCCAATTTGGAATGGTTGATCATTGTTTAGGGACCACTTGTGCAATTAACTTATACTGAATTAAATTAAAGTTTTGCAGGATGTTAAATCTACTAGTGCAGGCTGTTTCCGGATCCGTCTGACTTACACTCATAAAAGAGCATCCGATAACTCTGTTGAGAGGAATCAGGGATTCAAAAGGCGGAGAATAAGTATTTTACATCCATTGAAACTACCTAAGACTTGGTTGAATCTAGATGGCCATAATATTCAGATTGATTTCATTGATGATACAGGCACAGGGAATGGGTTGCACAATGTATATGACAAAGCAGTGATTACGAGTAAAGTTTGTTCTGATTATTCTACCAATGAAACAATTTCCGTTACTGGAAGATCTTCTAATATTTTGCAAGATCAAGAAACTTTTGAACACTTGAGAATCCCCATAGATAAGGTTGTTATCTATAATAATCTTTTGATTGCAGTTTCCTTGCTTGCAAAGCTTTTTATTAGCCTTGATGATCTTGAAATTCAATACTGTTGCTTATGTTGATGCTTATTATATATTTTGGAATGTGCCTTTCAGGTCAGTGAACCCTGCCATTTGGTATACCTTTGCTACAGGACACATATTTACCTGTGTGGTAGATATCTGAAGGTAAGTCAATACATTAGAGTGTATTTTACATCAATATTCAAGCATTATAACTTGTGAGATTGCAAGAAGGCAATTGTTTGTTTTAAACCATTGCTTTTTCTAGGATCTCCTTCAACCGTCTTTGTGGAAAAAGGCAAAAATATACTATTATTTGGAGTTATTTAGATCTTGAACAAACCTTGTATTTTGTTTTGATTTCCGGTATTTTGTGTGCTTCTTTTATTGCAGTACTCAAGGAATGTGAGCCAAACACGCTGGATAATTGATGAGGAAAGGATGGGAGAAGCATCTGTCGAGGTATTGGATATTGCTTTGTTTTTCTTTATAGTCCCTAAAGAGGCTACTTTGCTTATGTATTAATATCTGAAACTAACAAATCTAATTGTCTGTTATTCAGGAGATTATAGGTAGCAACATCCTCCCTATGTGTCGGGGTGATAATTACAAGTTTCACGCTGCTGGCAGAGAAGATATTGATGTGATGAAGTTCTGCTTTTTTCAATTGTTCGTTTAAACTTGATACATTTTGGGGCCTAAAAAAATCAATGGATGTTTTGCTTATCTACGGAACTTATTGCAGGTTCGAATGTTGGGTTCAGGCAGGCCCTTTCTGCTTGAGATACAAAATTCCTGCCAAATTCCATCCGAGGAAACCATTAAGGAAATCGAATCAAAGATAAATGGCTTGGAGAATAAACTCGTGAGTTCTAATGCAATGTTATACGGATGTTTCCCTTCAAACACCCTTTAGTGTTTCAAACGATTTAGAGAATTAGTTGCATATAACACATTCTTGCAGGTTGGAGTTAAAAAACTTAAAGTAGTAAGCAGTCAGGGTTGGACACTGATGCGTGAAGGAGAAGCTGAGAAGCAGGTTGCTTTGGATTTTATATTTGTATATTGTAGTTAATTCTCTTATCATTTGGATTGAAATATGAAGTTTCAATAAAGTTAGACTTGACAATATCCTCCTCCTCCATGCAGAAGCAGTATTGTGCATTAGTGTGGATTTCTCGTCCACTTGAGGATGAGGATGTGCAATCAATATCATTGCTTAATGACATGGTTAGCTGTTCTTTGAGATTTATTTTTCCTTCTTCACAACATAACCATCGTCTTAGTGAGGGTTTTCTGCTGTCCTCCTGCAGCAAATTCTGCAAAAGACCCCAATACGGGTGCTTCATCGTAGAAGTCCATTGGAACGCCAGAAAATTATACATTGGTTGGCACCAGTCCTTTGTACATCTTTTTTCCACAGTTGTGTATTTTGTAAATTCGAAAGGCTTAACAATGTTTCTGTTTTCCTTTCTGAATCATGTATAGGATGAAGATTGAGAGGATTTCTGGAAGCCCTCAATATTTTCTTTTGCATCTTTGCACACAGGTAATGATGTTTTCACCTGAAACATGGTCAAATATATCCAGTTTGTTTAGAGGGGTGTGGAGGGTCCTCAAATAGGTGAAATTCGTAATTTTTTCGCCTTCTTGCTTTGTTTTATGAGGACCATGCCTTGGTACTCAGTAGTCACACACCCACTGTATGAAATTTAATACTGACTAGACTACTCCATGTTGCATTCTTCTGCAATATGTTCTTGTTAGACAAAGATTTGGGCCATGATATACTGAGTTACAAATGGCGTCTGAATAAATGCTGGTCAGACCGGGTCAGGAGAGGGGTTAGCATAGTATCAAGATGCCTTTTGCTTGTGTATGGTGCTTTTTTTTTGTTGGGGAATGTGCAACACACTGACATATTTGGAATGCAGGCTGGAACTTATATCAAGGAATTTGTTCACGGTGATCTTGGGCGCACCCAGCCTAGGTACTTTGCTAAACTGAAAATAGAGAGGGTTGCACCATCAGTTTTTGACGATAGCTGAATGATTTGAGCCTTTGAGCTGGGATACGTTTGTGATCATGTGTGTACTTGCAGTCATGGAAATCTAACAATTCTACTCTTTTTGCAGTATCGGATCAATCCTGGGATGCAGAGCAGAGATTATGCAGCTCGATGTTACAGACGTGAAAATGGATTCTTTCTGACTGAAAGAAGCGGAAGTGTACAAACTCCCATATCCAGGGTCCAGTGATGTACCACACTACACTACACATCAAGTTTGTTATATAGTGTGTGGAATACCATTGCGTGTTACTGTTTTCCCTCCTCTCCTTTGAAGTGAATTATTCCGAGTCTTTCGGTTTCTCTTTGATCCCTTACGTTTTGACTTAATGTGAAACATACGTTATTATAGAAGGTTGGCATTCAAACTTCAAAGGCCAATGTTTTCAAGTTGCTTCTCTCTGAGGGCAAGTAATGCCTTAGGTTGGGTTGTAGGAAGGTGTTAGTTCCAGAGATTGCTTCCTCTATTTTCTGGGCAAATAATGGTGTTGTAGTTATTTTATCACTCTGCCCTCAGGTGTTAGTTTATGTTATGTCCTTATGGTCAAGGCAGTGGCTGTTAAAGATTTGTCCTCATCTCATCTCTCGTTTGCTGTTTTCATTATATATTCAACAAAAGCTTTAATAGGCCAACATTTTCTTTTTAAAAAACATTATATATTAATTTCCAAACTCAGAAGGCTAAATATGTGCATGAAAAACTGCTCTTATGCACCTCATGGCTCAACCGTGTTGCAATCAGTTCATAATGTGCCAATTCCCACTTGACGAAAGAGCCGCAGTTAAGTATAGTAATTGTACCAGACTCATCATAATGGACCAAATTAAAAGCAGTCGTAAAGTTGGTGGGGGATCCATAAATTTTAATATAAAATGATGATCTCGCTAACCAGCTCTACATGTGCCATCCCATTAACACATCAACCCAACTCCATACGGTAATTAAACAGCGGCACTTTAACATTTCTAACCAATCGAGTGAAACAAATATTCTTCGCAACCCTACACGCGCGTGTTTCTCACGCCCATGATCACCCGCCAACTAATAGGGGAAACCGCGACTGGCTTCCATTGCAAACGGCAATATGCACTCTAAAGCCAGTTGAAGAAACTGCGAATGCAGTATCGTTTGAATCTTTATTTCTTCGTTATTTTACTTTTCTTCTTTTCAACTCGACTGTACGGCCCCATAATGCTGGCTAGAATCCCGTTTAACTTGGGAAGTTTGTTGAGCATTTGATCTTTGATTTGAAGAATGGGGAGCGTTTCGTCTGAGGAATGTTTCGATCAAATAAGTGAGCGGTTCGAGAGTTACAGCTTGAGCGCCGACGTGAGCGAATCCGAGAGCTCGTGTGGGTTTTCCTGTCGTCGTTTTGACCGAGGTGGTTCGAGTTTTTTGACCTCTTCGCCGCCCGTTGGTTCAGAGTTCGTTGACGTTTCTAGTTTATCGACGCAAGTTCCCGTGATGTTACCGGTTGTCGGTGGTAGACACGAGGACATTCCGTCGAAGAAGGTGGAGGAACCAGAGGCCGTCATGGCGGGTGCGTTCACTACACTTTTGCTGTATGTTCTTTTTAGCACTTAGAAATTGGGAGTTGACTTTGTTTCTTCATTGAAGGTTTTGCCGGCAATTTTAGTTTATATTTATAATGGTGAAGATCGAAGACTTATGGACGAATATTTTGCTGCATTTTTAACGTACTTAGTGACGGTTGTTTAGATCTGTTATATGCATTTATCCCTTAAAGATCTGTTATTTCGTTTCAGTCTTTAACTCGGCACCTAGTTCTCTTTTAGTTCTTTCCGTTTTTTGGGTACAAATTAGACTTCAACCTTAAATATTTTTTCCACGGAGTCTGGGTTGATATCCCTATTCGTCTTGCTTAGGATTAGTTGTGTTTTAATTTCTATCGATCTGTTTGCAGAAGTAGATATGATGAAGGAAAGGTTCGCTAAACTTTTGCTTGGAGAAGATATGTCAGGTGGAGGAAATGGAGTCTGTACTGCTCTTGCCATATCCAATGCCATTACAAATCTTTCTGGTTAGTTTCTTGTACTTGATTTTCATTTTTGTTTTTCTTGGTTCATCATTAACAAGAGGTTGAAATCCGAATCTTTTTTTTTATTTCCTTCAGCTTCTGTGTTTGGGGAACTATGGAAGTTACAGCCATTATCACCACAAAGGAAGCTGATGTGGCGTAGAGAGATGGATTGGCTTTTGTGTGTAAGTGATTCCATAGTGGAGCTTAAACCATCTTTGCAAGAGTTTCCAGGTGGGGGAACCTTTGAGGTTATGGTGGCCCGGCCACGCTCGGATCTCCATGTTAGCCTCCCAGCACTCAAGAAACTTGATGCAATGCTGATAAGCATTCTTGATGGCTTTCATAATTCTGAATTTTATTATGCGGATCGTGGAGTAGTTATCAACGATACTGACGGAATTGAGGCATTTCCTTCATCTTCGCCATCTGGTAGTTCATCTGTTAGACTGGAAGAGAAGTGGTGGCTCCCATTTCCCAAGGTTCCCCCCTCTGGTTTATCCGAAGATTCAAGGAAGAGATTGCAGCAGTGTAGGGAATGCACAAACCAGATCCTCAAGGCTGTTAAGGCAATAAACAACAATGTGTTGGCTGAGATGGAAATCCCAGATGCTTACCTCAAAAGCTTGCCCAAGGTTTGGAGACTGCTCCATACTATACAAAATTGTTCTATGTGGCATGAGAAAGTATAAATTTACTTTTAGACGGAGCATCCATGAGGCGAATTGCATCAAATATTCATGCATCCCTTTTTCTTCTTTCTAGGGAGCATATTGTTCACTATGCCTTTTTTTGCTTGTGTTCCAGTGTGGAAAGGATTGTTTGGGTGAGGTCATGTACCGTTACTTAACCGCTGACCAATTCTCGCCCGAGTGTCTTCTTGATTACTTAGACCTATCATCGGAATACACTGCTCTGGAAATGGCCAACAGGGTTGAAGCTTCTGTGCGTATTTGGAAACACAAATACTTGAAAAGGCACTCACTGCTTGCAAAAGTGGGAAAGACAGCATGGGGTGGCAAAGTTAAGGGTTTTGTCGGTGAGATAGAAAAGACGAAGATTTTAGCTGAGCGAGCCGAGACACTCCTACAGAACTTACGGCTACGGTTTCCAGGCCTTCGTCAGACTTCTTTAGACATGAGTAAGATTCAGCATAACAAGGTACTTCATCTTATTAGCATGAATCAGTTCTTAAAGCAGTATATAGTTCATATGCACATGTTTCCATCGATAACATTTGTCTTTCTATTCTTTAAAATGTAATCATGATTTTTTTTTATCTAGAACTCGGAAAAACAGCAATCTGTTTGAAATTTAAACATATAAAGAATTGTTGAAATATGCTAAAGGGCAAAGAGATGAGATTAAAATTGTTGGTTTTTGTAGGATGTAGGACAATCAATCCTTGAGAGCTACTCGAGAGTGATGGAAAGCCTAGCATTCAACATAACGGCAAGGATTGATGATCTTCTATATGTGGACGATGCCACAAGGAAACGAGCGATTGAGACAGCAGAGTCAGTGTCTGTTTATGAGGCGGGGCGGTTTGATGTTGGTCTTCCTAAACAAAGTCGGATATCAACCGATCCTCTCTCGTTCCAACGTCCTCCATGTGGGATGACAGCATCCTACGATTCAGATGAAATAAGTGAAAGCTCTGATAGGAGAGTTTATCAACAATAAACAATGGCAATCTTAGAGAGCCATTGGATGGCTCACGGGTAAGGTTAGCTTTTTGAGTAATGAATGCAATAACGTCATGCACCACAAACCTGGCAAAGATTGACTTCATCACATGCGAATTTAGTTGTACTGAATCTTGTATATAATCCCTTTATGGTCAGACATTCAACGTAGACAAATTTTTTTGAAGGGATATTGGTTTAGTTGGATCTCTTTAAATTGTCGCCATTGTAACAGGAACTATTGGCATTTTTCTTCTTTCTCAAGATTAGAGAAGCACTGCGATCAACCGAATCCTAGATTTCGGGCAATGATTAACGGCGTTAAAAGAAACTTGAACGATATGTTAACCATAAATTAATAACATGTTGTCAACCACCATTATCACCGTGGAAGCTGGCTTCAATGTAAGCAAACCATCCTTCTGATGGGCTAGCTGCTATGACACGTGGTGATTCCATTGGTGTTACCGAGTTTACGGAGCCCCCGGACGAACAACTGACTGGTATTCTAAACAAGGATCGTTTGGAGTCTAGTTAATTCTAGCTGGTTCAGTATTACAAAATATATATATTAGCATTCAAAGTGAATACGATGTATATCTCTTTTGGTTTCAAATCCTTTGTTATATTTCTCATAGAAAAAGACATTCAATTAACTCCGTCTGAATCAGAAAGTGAACAGATATGATTGCCCCTTGTTTGAGGTCCCTGAGCTGCAACCAAATGAGAAGAGGCCATTACGGTCGATAAAACAAAAACCCTATATATTTTTGCAGTACCAATTATTCACCAGAACTAACCGGAAGCAAAAAGGTAAGGTAAAAAGGGAACTACATGGCAATGAAAATATATGGGTATGGTCCCCCATTAAATTTGTTTTAGCATCATTATAACCAATCTTTTCATCCCCAGTACTGCTCTTGACCAAAATTCTTTGACGCATTGACCCTAAGCAACGGCAAGGCAAGACGATGGTCCGCTAACTCCACCCCCTCAAAATCCAAGGTTCCTGCTCCGGGGCAGCCACCGACTTGACTAACGCCCTCCATTTAGTACACTTTCAAAGGCCATTATAACCTATACAACATAGATCTAATGAAAACACATCGTCATCCACATTTATTTAAAAAGAAATTGTTCGTAGTTACAGTTGAAACTTGAAACCCCATTTCTTTTTTGTTTTGAGTTTTTAAAAATTGTTAATATTTTTGTCAGTATTCAATCATGAGGCTAAGAATAAGGTGCTTTAAGAGAGCGTAGATGCATCCACTACTAGGGCTAACCGCCCTGTGCCCCTCATATAAGAGACCCTTCCCTACAGATTCATTAGTGTACTGTATATGATTTTTATTAATATACATAATATATTATATAACTAAGCAAAATAAAATATATAAAATGTCTTCACTGACATTTTGAAATTGGTGGCGAATCATGCATGAGAGGCCTTTGAACATGAAATATCTTTTTTAAAGTGGCAATCTAATATCTGATGACAATCAGCGTGGATATAAACAATATTTACAGTATCAGATTAGTATTAATTCAAACACCTACACCGGAGTCATCATTTGCGTCTGATGCAACTCTGACAACATCTTCTTGTTCCTGTCCTTTGGTTTTTTAGGGTTACTATGCAAATTCCACCCTTTCGCTTTTGCCTTTGAAGGGAGTTTACTTGAACTTGGATATCAAATTCACAGATCCATCATTAACATATCTTTCTCATAAAACCTTAGATGGAACACATGATAATAGTTCCGCAACTGTTAAAAAAAGTATTTGATTTCTGGGACAGGAGAAGTGCAGAAAACAAATATGAAAAGATTAGTTAGGGTTATCAGTTGACAGTCAAAACCTCAAAGAAGATCTCAAATAGGACAAGTTTAGAAACATAAGTTTGCTCATCATGTTGCTAGCACGAACCCTCAGGCCTCAGTTGAGCGGTCAATACATACGATCAAACCCTGCAAATAGCAGAAGCATGATGAAAGTACCAACAAAATAGTAAAATGTAATTTACTCCCTTTTCGTATAAAATTGTAGAGTTAGAAGTTACCTAACCAAAAAGGTTGAGACTGAGAAGCCACCAAATATAGTATCATCTCATTGATGTAAAAACTGCAGAAATATTGATGAAGATAACGGGAGGATATGAATGTTTGGTAGTTACCTGGAACTTTAAAGAGGGAGAGGAAAGCTGGAAGAAATGCATCACGAGGATTTTACAAAGAGATGCCAAAAGAGCCCAGTTGGCAGTATTCCCACCTCCATGAAAAATCAAATAAGGAAAAAAACTGGGTTTTTTTTTTTGCTATGATGAGGAGGTGGACAGAATGCCAATGAACTCTGTAAGAATCCCTTTGCCAAACCCCCATGCGAGCAAACAAAAACATTAATAACAGTCCTTGTATTTCACCATAGAGAGACATGCAGAGGAGGCAAGTGAAGGGAGGAGAAGAGTGTTAATGACAAGAAGGAAAACAGGAGAGTAGAGTAGATGCTGACGGTGTTCTCCTATTTAAGATGCAATGAAGGAACAACGGTGAATAAGTGAGAGAAATGGGTGTGTAATTAATTAAAGAGGGAGGTGGATGAGAAACAAAATACAACTAAGATTGGATGGGTTCATTCGGAAGGGCATATTTAGAAGGATCATCATCACCATCGTTGTTATTCTCTCCTCTCTTCCCTCGTTATTGGTGTAAAAACGGCCCCGCACACCCTGTAAAGATTAGCAAATGATATCTAAACTATGAGAGCAAGAACGAGAAACAAAACTAAAGAGAGAAATCATTCTGAATTTTATCATCTTCAAGGGTTGAGTTTTACGAGTCTTAAAGAGTGTATTTATAGTGAGTACTATAGCTGTAACTAATGATGTAACTAATGATGTAACTAACTTCAACATACTAACTGCTCCAATTGATTAGTTGCAATGTATCAGTTGTAGGCGCAACCATCATGCACAGTTGTCCATCATGCACAGCAATAGTACGTGTGCTCATGTCCCATGCACAACATGTAAAGATTAGCAAATGATATCTAAACTATGAGAGCAAGAACGAGAAACAAAACTAAAGATAAACCATTCTGAACTTTATTATCTTCAAGGGGTTGAGTTTTACAAGTCTTAAGGAGTGTATTTATAGTGAGCACTATAGCTGTAACTAATGATGTAACTAACTTCAACAAACTAACTGCTCCAACTGATTATCTACAATGTATCAGCTGTAGGCACAACCATCATGCACAGCAGTCCATCATGCACAGCAGTCCATCATGCAAAGCAGTCCATCATGCACAACAGTCCATCATGCACAGCAGTAGTACGTGTGCTCATGTCCCATGCACAACAACTTCATTCATTCATTTACACTAACATTCCCCTTGCAACTTCAACTTCAAACCTCCTTCAAAACTCAAATTGAACTAATGTTCATTTACACTAACATTCCCCTTGCAACCTTCAACTTCAAACCTCCTTGAAAACTCAAGTTGATATATTTTAAGTTGTACCACCAGCAGTCGTTGTCTGTGTTTGAAAAATAAAGGCGATGATAAAGGCTTGGTCAGCACATCAACAACTTGCTCGACTGTAGGTACTTCATGTACTTGTAGTTGCCCCATAGCCACCATTTATCGAACGAAAAACAAGTCTAGCTCAACATGTTTGAACTTGGAAAGCAGTACGGGATTAGCACATACAGCGACTGCACTTGTATTATCATACCACAATATGGCCTTGCCATGTGAAACTACATGCAATTCCCCTAAAAACGATCGAAGCCACACCATCTCAGCAGTTGCACATGCCACACTTCTGTATTCAGCCTCAACAGTTGAACGTGCAACAACATGTTGCTTTTGAGAGCTCCACGAGACCAGGTTTACCATAAAAATATATACAGAACCCTGAGGTCGATCGCCTATCATCAATATCTGAACCCCAATTCGCATCTACAAAACCAGTCAAAGCCATTCTTGAGGAAGGTGTGAACCGTAATCCAAAGTCAACGGTGCCTTGTAGGTAACGAAGTATTTGCTTGACTACCTGAAAGTGAACATCCAGTAGGGCTTGCATGAATTGACACACCCTATTCACGGCAAACGCCACATCAGGTCGAGTGATCACAATGTACTACAGGGCATCTACCTACGATGGTTCTGTATCGTGCAACATCTTCAAGTGGTGTTCCTTCCTTGGCTGACAGCTTGATGTTAAAGACCATAGGAGTGGGAAAACTTTTCACTTCACCAAAACCATGCTTTTGTAGAAGGTCTTGAATATACTTTTTTTGAATCAAAACAACATCACAACCTTCATAATTGACTTCCAGTCCTAGGAAAAACTCAATGGTCCAAGATCCTTCAACTAAAATTGAGCATTCAGTTTGTCTATAACACTTTGAACAACCACCTCTTTATTCCCTATTAAGATGATAACGTACACCAAGCTATCCGAGGTCTTTCGAACATAAAGAGACATCCGACTTAGCTAGGCAAAAACCTTCAGACTCCAGGTACGCCTTCAGTCGTTCAAACCAGGCCCTCGGTGCTTGTTTCAGCCCATAAATCGCCTTGTGTAACTTGCATACCAGCTCACCATTTCCTTGCTCATACCCTGGTGGTTGAGTCATGTACACCTCTTTAGTGAGCAGCCCATTCAAGAAGGCATTGTTGACATCGATCTGTCTCAGCTTCCACCCTCGTGACAACGCCAAGGAAATGATTACCCTGATCGTTGCAGGCTTGACCACCGGGCTGAAAAATTCATCAAAGTCAATTCATGGTTTTTGAAGAAAACCTTTCGCCACCAAGTGTGCTTTATACCTTGATATCGAGCCATCATCATTTCGATTTACTCGAAAGATCCATTTACAATTTACTGGCTTCCTATCTCTAGGAAGAGGAACTAGAGTCCACGTGTTATTCCTTACCAAGGCATCAAATTCAGCTTGTGCAGCTTTTTTCCAATGAGGACTCATGAAGGCCTCTGTGATATTTGTTGTCTCTCGATCTGAATTTGCAACATTATAAACTTTTGGCTTCCAGATTTCATGCTTACTCTTGGTAATCATAGGATGTACATCGG